ACCTCAATCACATGAAAAGAATTTAATAAAAAACAATAATAGGTAGGTTAGTTTATTCAGCAAAATAAGAAGTTTCCCTTGTGCAGCTCGCTTAATTTGATGTCTGAACAGATTGATGTTTGTACTGTTTGGCGAATCAGTAGGGTCCTCCTCATTCCTCAAAAGTTGGGAATGAACAGAATTTTTCTTTTTGGTTTGAATTTTCAAGGCAAGGCTTACCACTTAAACTTGCACCTGATTGTTATGCTAGTAGATAAATTTTTAGAATTCCCACATTAACACTTCAACTTGAGCATAAGTGAACTAATAAACACCTCATACCGTTGAATCATAGCCCGTGCATTACAAATTGACAAACGTGGCAATACAGTCAGCAAAAGACCAATTAAAACCTACCATGTGTAAGGCACGGATATACACTAATCACCGACTATTTCCCATTCTTTTTTGACTTAAAGACTCTAAAAACTCAACAGTTTCAGTCGTCTCTCTTTCTAACTAAATTCTACATTTTCAATCATCTGAAATGAACGACCTAGGATTTTCCACCTCCGAGATCATTTGCACATTGGGTTTATTTTTCTTTCAAGCTTGGTTCCAAAACAAGAATCTGTTGGATTTGTGTACCGTCGATTCCTCCATCACCAAATTCGTAGAAGTCATGCAAGGTCCGATTGTTGTCTTTCATGTTATTTCTAGTTGTTTTCTTATGTTTTTATGTGTTATTGATGTTTTATATGATAGATATGTTTTGTATGTATGCAATGATTGTTTCGTTGTTAGGGTTTAAAATTAAGACTTTTTGGAATAACATACTAAATTCTTATTTTCCCTCTGAATTTTGTCGGTTCCATAGCTGATTTGGCATATAGGGTTAAAAATTAGCTAAGGCTTTTTATCATATAAAAAAATCTTGTCTCTTGGAGAATAAAATACACAACTTTCCATTGCATTCTTGGCCTGAACAATAAAATATCGATCTAGAGAAGAAAAAAATTGATTTGAATCTGTAGAAAATTTGAAGAGAAAATATGCTACGCAGCTTCAGTTCCTCAAATGTAGGTTGTAGGCAAAACTAGGAAGAAGAAGCCCTTTAAATAGATGGGCTCTTGGGTTTATTACTGTTGGGCATTGGAAAAAGGACGCACAACAGCTGACTAGGAATAATTGATGCCACATGTGTTGAGTCAACGGTTCGAGGTTTTTTTAGTTCACTTATGCTCAAGTTTGAAGTGTTCATGTGGAAATTCTGAAAATTTATTTACCGAGATGACAATCAGGTGCAAGTTTAAGTGGCCAGGATACCATTTTGCCAAATTTTAAACATCATTCTGGGTTTAACAAAGGAAAATATGCGGTATTTCGAAAAACAAAATCGAATGTATAGTATGCATAGTACGTGTTTATTTTAAAGCAGATAAATCTTAGTTTCTGTTGAGACCTTAGACGTGGAAAAGAAGGAAAAAGTGCAGGTAAAAACGGCAGAAATAGAGGGGATTGTATAGACAGAGACGATTAAATGGGGGGTGACGGTTTGAGAGCCCCCACCACCCAAATTCTGCTTTGTCTCTTTCTGCATATATCAGGGTGGGGAAGTGACTCAAATCTTTGTTTGTTTTAGGTTGGATGTTTTTGATGTTCCCTAATTGAATCTTTCTTTCTTTCTTTTCACACATACATTCAATATGTCCAGAGTTATCAAAAGATCAAGTTATGAGTGAGTTTGCATTGAAAACCTTAAACTATTCAACACTCCACTTTGCGTGAGGATGTTGGGGTTGTCTAGCCAATTTTGTTCTCTTTCAGCTGTAAGTAAGTATTCTCAGTTTTGGTAATATAAAAATTTATTTACCAAAACAAAAAAGAAAAACTATTGTAACAGTCATACGTTTTCGTTAAAGTAATTAAATTATATGTGAACTGATCAGAAAATACAAATGATCATAAAATTTATGGCTGTTTTTGTTTCTTTTAGGTTGATGTTCCCCAATCCCCTTTTCTTTCTTTTAGCAAAGACATACAACATGTCCAGAGATATTAAAAGAGTGAGCATGAAATGAAAATTGAAATGAGCAAATATATCTCTATCACCTTAATTAATTGAAGGCTAAAACTCTTCAACATATATGCCACTTTACATGGAAACTTTTAATCCGTCACGGGGCCAAGGAAACGCTAACACAGTAACACTACAACATTTCCGTTAACGATGAGGATATCTGTATATAATAATACTAAGCTCGAGTGTCATACAAAGATATAGATTCATAATTAATGATATAGCTCCTGATTACATGTACTTTGTCAAGTTCTGAAAAGAAAATGACTAGTTCATGTCGTCTAAACACGAAGTTAATTCTTTACTTTTGATGTTCGGTTTAAGTTATATGCACTATCAGTATAAGAAATTTTTACATCATCATATCACTCTTATATGTTATAGTAGGTAATTTATTTTATTTTTAAAATTAGAAATTTCACATCTTGAGAAGGCTTACCTATAGATATTATTTAGGTGATGGATTAATAATGTAATTTGTTTTTTAAAGTGATTACATATTTAACTTAAACTCTACAGATGACTATTAGTGTATTGACCTAAAAGAGATGGTAAGCAGCATATTACTCAGTTAGTTAGAATTAATATTGTGCCAAATCATATAATTTAACTTTAAGAATCACAAATTAAAGTAAAAACATGTTCTACTCCCTCCATCTCAGTGTGACACATTTTCCTTTCTAATCGGTCCTAAAAAGAATGACAATTTTTTTATATTTAATAACAACTCATTTTTAAATTTCTCTTTTTACTCGTAGTCAGTTGATTTCTAACCACAGAAATTTTTATAAGTAGTCGTTTTAGACCACAAGTTATAAAAAATGTTTATTTGTTTCTTAACTTCGTATTCATTCAAACATATGATCACTTAAATTGGCACAAAAGAAAGTACTTAACTATAGTTATCTGATAAATATGCAAAGAAAACAATGCCCTCAAGTTTACCTACCTCCACAGATTATCATATTGCAGCAAAATCACCAGTAGTACTATTACTCATGTTTTTCCTCTATTCTCCAGTAGTACGTTGTCAGAAGCAATGTTTGAGAGAGAGCAGTCAAGTTCCATCAATATTTCCATCATATCCTCTAAATTCATGGTCATCTCGAGATCATCAAAGAATCGCCTTTTGAGCGTACAACTCTGCCTCTACACCTTGTCGGATTATTTTTCTATCGAATGAAATCCAATAAGTGCAGACTGTGCAGTGCTCCCTATCTTCTGCCACTGTACATTTACATTATTTGCACTCGTGTGAATCCTACCTTTTCTTTCTTTTACCGCTTAGACGTTGATTCGGAATTTAAAGTTTATAGGTTCGTAAAGTAACTTCAAATTAATATATAATAATTGTTGGATTCACAATTAAATATTTGTCGACCGAGAAATTACACTAAATGACCTTGAAAACTTGAATTTTTGATCCTAGATTGTACCCATGGACAAATCTTTAAGTTCAAAAGTTAAAAGTGTTTCCCATAAGGTAAGCGAAAGACAAACCTGTTAAACTTAAAGTGGTGTTCACGAGAGAAGCAAAGTCAAAAAATCAAGAGTAGCACCAAAATTTTCTATTTCTATCCAACCCCATCAACTCCGCCCATTAAATGCAGCCTATCCTAGCCCCAAATCGGGTCGGTTATCTCGCCCTTAGTAGGCCGGGTTGTGCCCGGACTGGCCCACTTTAATTTATACCCATGAGATGTAAGGAGTTTTCCGAGCTAAGAGAAGGGTATTTCCAATACCTAGCTAAGAGAAGGGTATTTCCAATACTCGTCCAAACGTCTTCAATCCCTAATATGTAATCAATGGAGGTACTTAATTCTTTCATCCCGTTTTATGTAACTGGTGTTTGACAAAGGCTTGTAGTTGCAAAAAGAAATATTAAAGGCAGAGGTGGAGCCAGGATATGAAGTTTATGAGTTCGGAAATATAATCTGTTTGAGTTACTGGGTTCTAAACTAATAAATCGTACATATTCAGTGAATTTCTTAAAACAAATACATGGTTTTGATAAATGCTAGTGGATTCGGCCGAACTCATAGGTCGTGTTCTAGCTTCGCCCCTGATCAGAGGTCCTTGAAATGTATGGTCTAAATAGATCATAAACACTTGTGTAGATATAAAATTATAATTATTAAGTGCAAAATCAGAATTTCAAAGTTTAATTATATTCAAATATAAATAGACTAAAAAGGAAAGTGTGACATACAATCAAACTAATTAAGAAGGCAAAGCGTTCTCCAAAGTAAAAAACATAAATTCTGTAATCTTGGACTGCATGCATTCTTTTTGTTCTTCTTTATATTCCTTTCTTGGAGGGGCTTTGTGATGGATTGATGGGTGAGCGATGCTATGTTGAAAACAGTGTTGTATAGGAATTGCTGGGGACGAAATGTTAAAGGCTGAAAACCCTATACATTACCCACTGTTCTACACAATGTGCAAGAAATAATATACTGTATATGGTAGACAAAGATGAGGTTCTATAGGAAATACGCACAGTTCAGATTTTCATTTTAGTAAACAGATGATTTTGGGAAATAATAATTATATCGACAATATATGAAACCAAACAGATCGTTCTTTTTCCTGTTGGTTCACTGAAGACTATTTGGTCACAAGACTGTGTGAAGAAAAAAAAAAAGTGTTTTTTCTTTATTGCAGTCCCTTGCTCATCAAGTTGCCTTACAAAGAAATTATAATGTTTTGATGTGAAATCGGCACTCAGATTTTGCTTGTTCTAGTGGCCTTTTGATATGGCTTTCTTTCGGCTATAAATTCAGAAAATGAAACTTGGCAGCTTTGCAGCATATTAGGTAAAGAAAAGTGGTCCATTTCAACAAAAGCAGAAACCATATGTAAATAATAAGATATGCATATACATAAATTAATAAACGACGACTTAGCTCTACAGATTCTAACTGGAGAGAATCTGCTTTTCAATAACATGAAAATAGTTTATTTATTGTTTATTGACCATAAACAAATCCCATAAAATTACTACACCTTAAATAGACATGACCCTTTTTTTCTAGACTCTCAATGTAGCAGCCATAGACTTTCCATGCCACATCTTATTAGATGGTCTCTAAATATGACAGAACATCTAGCCAAAATATAAAATGCTTGGAAATGTTTTCAAGTTCAGCAGTAAGAGTAGAATAATACTATAGTTTCAAGAGAAAATAGGACTCAATGCTCTAGCTAGGACGGTGAATGTGAAAAAGGGCTAGTAGCTATAGGGAAACCATAGCGAAAGTAGTTAAAACTTAAGTAGCACACCATTCTCTTAAGAGGGTCACAAACCCTAGTAAGAAAACCCTCTATAAATTTTGCTTGACCGATCAAATACTTGCTCCTCCTCCTCCTCCATGGATATTTCCAGCAGAAGAGTTTTGATCATTCCAATTATTAGGGATAGAATATGGGATAGGAAAACTAGGTGTTTGATGAAAACCTCTACTAAACTCAACCGGCCTTTGGCGAAAAGCAGCCATGTTAATTGCTTGTGTTCCAGGTAAAGGCAGCGGGGGTGTGTACTCATTGCAAGCATAGCGAATCAAGTCGGCGTTAGCAGCGTCGAGCTCCTTTTGCAGGCGTTCAACTTGGCGTTGAAGGAAAGATATGGCACCAACGCAGCCATAAACGGGATCCCTTACTCTTGCTTCGGCTTCGTAGGCTAAAGAGTTGACGGCGTCTTCTCTTTGGTGAGGTAAAAGCTCATTGAGAAGCTTAGTGACATTGCTTGCACCGAAGATTTTGTGAACGTTAATGAATTTTTGAGGCTCCTCGGGTGGGAAGTAAGGTGCAAAAATACAGCCAGGTAGACATTTTCTCCTTAGGAATTTGCAGGCTGCACAAGGGGAGTTGTATGAGCTGCTGGATGAAGCCATTCTTGATCTCTAAGTAGCTGCAAAGAGAAAACATCAAGTAAGCTCTTCTTTTTTTTTTTAATTGAAATTTTTTACCTTAACTAATTATAACAATTTTCTCTTAAAGATAAGCTATTTTATTGTGAATTGTAATGGAAATTTACCTTAATTATTATAGCATCTTAAATTTCTCTCCTTTTTCCCAATTTGGGTTTCTCTTGGGATTCTTTTGCTATAAAATCTGATCCTGCTACAGTGAAAAAATATGCTAGACGTGCTCAATTGGGTGTATTTCTAACTTGTGAAATCGATCTTGGTATTTCATATACTACATGGAAAGTTAGCTAATGGTTTTCTATTATGTTTTCTCCCAAACAATTTGTTGTTTTTGGTTCATGGCTCACAAGTACACTGCATGCTTTGATCTTCTATAGAAGGAGTATTTAGGTTGATGAAGAATTTGCCTCATTTATGTCATCCAGCTACACAGAGACGGTAGAATTTTCATGATCTTGAATTTGGAGGTTCAAGTGGAAGTAGTGATATATCCTTTCTGAAATTCATTAAACATGAGATCTGAAAAATGCACTTGAAATCAAATTTCTTAAAAATAAGTAAAAGGAAAACCCTAAATCAACAACTGTTACACGGAGTAACATAATATAATAAAGCAAGTATGTTTCTGGAACTTATTTTAGGAAGATTTAGGAAGAAAAATGTTAGTCACAAGAAACCCTTTATGATGACTTTACCTATTTCTGATCTAGCTAGGTTTCTTTGATGAGATGATTGTGAAAAGGGAATTACCTTTTTTTCTCTTTCAGGAGCTCCTTGATCAGAAAACTTGGCTGTGTTTCTTCAAAGTTACAATAAGAAAGTACAAAAACAGTAGAGCAGATTGAAAGGGAAAAAAAAGTGAGCTTCACAAGTTCAATATACTACTTACTGGTGAAGCCCTCTAAGGGGAAAAACCCTAATTGGAGAAGAGAGAACTTTAGGTTGTCCCCTGCAAATCTAGTAGTAGTAGCAAAAGTTATAAATAAAGAAAAGAGAAGAGGGCAATTTAGTGATGGAGAAGGAATGAAGGCAAAAGACAAAGGGTAATAAATGGAAGGTACACTAGGAAAAAGATGACTATGACACTGCATCTAATAATAATTTCATACTTGTGGGGATGTATGTATCCATTTTTTCCCCTTATTCTACCCTATTTCTCATGCACTCAAAGACAACCATAAAATTATTCTAAATACGTTTTATTTTCTCTTTCTTTTTTTAGTCATATAAACCCGACATTTTCCTCCTATTTGTTCCATGTTACTTTAGCAATTGAAGAGATCGAATGGAAGAACAAAAGAGAAAAAAAATTAAGGCAGTAAAAAGAAAATGTAGTTGTAATACTGATTGAAGATTCATATATTTGTATAGTTGAATTGAGACAGATTCTGAATTTCGGATTTTGGAAAAAAAAAAATTGTTTATCCTCCGTAAAATCCATTCAAATAGGAATTAATTTCTGTGAAGCTTTATTTGAAATTCTTATTTTCTGATTTTGGAGAACATCTTTTCCATTCATTTGTCTCAACTTCTTGTCAATTACTAATCACTCTTTTCATGGAATTGACATGCTACATATATAGTATTACTTTTGTTGACAAATATATGAGTATCGCAGGATGACACAATCCAATAAATTAGCTAGGTTTAACCCCTTTGCTTTAATAAACTTTCCTTTTTTTTTTATCTGCTTATTATTCTTTATTTAACGTTCTTATTGAAGAATCAAAAGAAAATCTCCATTTTGTAAAATATCATCAGCAGCGGAGCTTAAGCAGATAATTCAATCGTAACCGATGAAGAAATTTTTGTTTTCAATTTGCTAGAAACAAAGCAGAATTGGTGGTCAGACGAATTTGAAGCTTACACAAAATGAATAAGAAGGATTGAAAATGACCAACACAGGATGACGATGTAATATAATGCACCAATTTTTCTTTAGACATTATTCCTGGGATGAGCTCAAGGCCATAAACAGTGCAGAAGTAGAATTTCCAACAAGAGGATTTAAAAAACAAAATATGTAAAAAAGCCAAGGGGTTCATCATTTAATATATATGTACGTAACAATAAAATCTAATCTTACATACATAGTATAATTTTTTGACGAAGAAGGTTCGGATTCTGCACTCTGCCCATGATCATAAGCATATTTTTTCTGTGGAATCACATTATAATAGTTCGTCCTTAAGCCTGGCTACCTAAGGATTTTGGATATATACTTCGAAAAAATTTCGCATTTTATATGATCTCATATTCGATTACCTTGCAGTTGTTGGTGATTGCTTTCTTTTCCTGTTAAATTACTAGTAAAATCTGTGAAGTAAATTGTTACCCCCTAAGTGACTCATACCTAGAATGTTAATATATAGCTCAACAAGCTAAAAAAAAAAAAGAAATAAATTCCTACCTAACCAATTTATATGGTTCCATTCGGTGTAATTTTACAAAAAGGAAACAATTTAAAAAGACATAAGCCAAAAGAAAAAAAAATCAAAAAATAAGGACTTCTCGAGCTTTTCTTTTTCAGATACCTGCTTTAAGGTGTTCTACTGCAAACCCACTAAAGAGGGTTCGTTTGGAAAAGAATTTCCTTATGTGAGCAAATCTTTTAATCTGATTTATATTCTTTGGAGATCCGAAGGTTGTAACATTTATTCTATACATTTTGACTTTGACTATTTCTGGATATAGTACTTAAAACAAAGCGGGACTGAAAAAAATAAATAACTGCCTCACTCAAGAAAGTGATTTCTAGAAAGATTCTCGTGTAATTAAATGACTAAGTAGGCGTTTGGACATAAACAATGTGAAATTTGGAAAAAAAATAGTTTTTGAAGTTAAGTTGTTGAAAATTGAAATTATGTTTGGACATGTATTTCATTTGAAAAAATGTTAGCAGTTTTATGAGAGGAGAGCATTGTTTACTTGAAAAAGTGGTAAAAATTAATTTTTCAAATTCAAAACTCATCTTCAAAATTTTAATGAAACTCAACTTAAAAATTTCAAAGAAATGTATAAGCAAACAATATTTTAAAGATGAGTTTCTGGGAAAAAAAATATTTATGGACAAACTGCTCCTAATCACCTCAGGGCATTTCTAACCAATTGTGCCCTCGGTAAAGTTTCACATTTGGAAAGAATATGATTTTATCTTCTTCATTTAATTAATGTGAATCAAACCCAGTAAGATTATTTCAATTCCAGTGGCCGATCAAGGTTGTTATCCCGCGTACCAAACGATCCCTTACTACTTTGAAGAAATGACTGTCACCAAAAACCAAAATGAGCATTTCCGTTTGGCACTCTCGAGAGATGTTATCTTCACAAATTTTAGTGCAATATTATCTACTCAGTACTGGATCTGCAAGTCTTAAATTGGAAAAATTAATTTTTGCTATTACAATTTCGCACTTCTTCTGCTACTTATTAATCCTGGACATCATCAATTAATTGATATGGAAATATAACATAATGTGCACAACTTTTAGGAAGCAAATAGACAATAATTAGGAGAGTCAAAAGGGGGAAATTGAATACACAAATTAAAGAGTAAGTAAAACTAAAAGGGAAAATCGGATAACTTTTTGTTTTAGGAAAGAATAGACAATAATTAGGAGAGTCTTTTCAAATATCATTACCTCACCTCGAAGATAATAAACCTTAACAGGTTGTTTGGATGGTTGTTACCCATTGTGTTGTATTGTATTGTATTGTATTGTATTGTTATTCTAAAACAATGTTTGTTTTTATTGTTATTTAAAATTGGTTGTATCGTATTGTTAAATCCATTGTTCTGGAACAACCAAAAGCCTCATTTTATGAAACAACCGATTTGGTGTGGTGGGATCGTTTCCTATTTTCTTTTCCAATTATGCCCTTATTTATTACTCTATAATTCTATTTTATTATTTAATTTTTTTTATTTTAACTCCAAATCTCCAACCTATTGACCTATTTTATCTTCTTCCATCTTTTCTAGAGTTGGTTTGCCATGTTCTTTTTATCCAAGTCCCCATTCAATTCTTTGTCTCTTTCCATCGTTTCAATTTTCTTTTCTTTTTTCTAATATTAGTTAACCTATTTTTTTTTCTCAGGTTTTTGCTCTTGTTTTCAAGCTACATAATTAATCATGAATTAGAGGTTGTCTTAAATTATTTTTATGTGTAATTCTTGATAAATTTTATTTAAAACAATTGGGGGTATTTTAGTGAATTTCTCAGTTACAGTACAGTACGATACAGTCAAACCAAATAACAAAATGTTATTTAACAACAGTAACCGATACAATATATTCATACGTTGTATCCATAAAACGATGCAATACAATACAATACAGTACAATACAATACATTATGAAACGATGAGTAACAATGATTCAAACATAGTGTAAGATCTGAAGAATCATGACAGTTTGACTCGACTTAACTAACAACTAAATTGAATGAATTGATCGCCAAAAATAGTTGCTAATTCAAACAAGGATGCGCTATTGATTCAATCTCCAGTTTCTTTTTTGTTCTTTTTAACTTGAATTCAGTTCAAAACTGATAAAAGCGCGTCAATATATCCACCGGAGCAAAAATCAGCTGAGCAAAGCAGTCAATAATTTACTCAACGCTCATTCTCAAACTCCTTGATAAATGCGTTTTTTCCATCACAGGAGGAAATAATGAAAATGAAAAAGAAGCGCCAAATTGTTAAATATTTTTAATTTAATCCCACATCGGTTCTTTTAGGATGAGATGATTTCTTTATATGATCTTGGACAATATTCACTTTATAAGTTTTTTTTTGGTTGAATAAGGCTTAAAATTAATTTTCTTATCATGGTATCAGTCAGGGGCGAAACCAGAAATTTCTTCAAGGGTCAGACTTGAAAGAAGTAAAAAGAATTCCTGACATAGGGTAGTGTTCAATATATATTATATACATCTAAAATCTAATATTTTATTTATATACGCAGTATAGTTTTTCGTGATATTTCGACGAATGGTGATTAGTTGACACCCTTAGTAAAAGTTAGTTTCACCCCTGGTATTAGAGTTAGACCCACTCTAATTCATTGTTTATCCAATATAGTGCCCTCATTTTATACTCACTACGCTTGAGATTTCTAGATGGGATGGTCCCTTTATATAGTTTTGGATAAAACTAACTTTTGCAGTTGTGTTAGGCTAAAATCTTTTTTTTTTGTCTGCTTATTTTCTGTATTTTATTCTAATTTCTCCCAATAAGTTTCTGGAAATTAAACTAACTAATCGTGAGAACTTCTTATCTGCTAAAAGAAATAATTAAGGTTGTTTACTTTTTTATATGTTCGTTGTCAATTGTTCCTCTCCTTTTTGGCAGCCAAAAACATGCAACCACCATGGGCCCATTTTACTGTGGCTACATTCGCAACGATACTTTGGGAACGAATAGGTAAAATAGTTACTTTTACTCATAATTGTTTGTGACTAGAGGACGCTATCAATTATGCCATGAATCTAGCTAAAAGCAACAATTGTTTTAATGTACAATATAATATTATCATTCTTAATTTACACTCAAAAAGAACTTAGTAAAGGTGTTGTATATTCCCTTTAGGTTAAGGTCTAGAAAATATAAGATGCCCTACCACATCTACAAGTAGGTCTCAATCAATAGCTCATGGTCAAAACATTCTTTGATGGGCCTTTTATTCCTAATATATTCTTTTTCATAAGCATAAAGAATGAGCATTTTTATCTGCTTATTAAGAAAATCTCCATCTGCTTAGTAGGGAGACTGCACCTATTGCACGCCTTCTCCTACATATCTCTACCAATCATTGTGGGCCAAAATACACATAAATTTATTTATTTGTCTTTTTTTTTTTAATTAAAAAAGAGAGAGAAACTGAAATATAAAGTTCGATTTTTAATGGTTGAACTCATCACTTGAACATATTGTACGTTTAAATTGTATATTACCATAGCAGAGATTAAGCGAATACAAAGACATAATCTTAAGTTGGGTTCCGATACGTAGGGGCGTACAAATTG